AATTATAATATTGTTCTTTGTATGAACGCAAAAAATAATGCAAGTATCGCATCTCTGCAATAAACCAATTTAAAATATAAGGTCCTTATTTCTAATTCTTAGAAATAAAATACAATATACGTTAATGTTACGTATCAATTTCAATAAATTATCGTTGTCAGAAGATCACATGATTTAGTTCAAATTAACACTAGCGATAGATATTGTAATAAAAAATATCATACTCACTGTGAATTCATTCAAGTTTAATTTTATTATTTTGGCAAAATCTTTATTTAAATCTCATTTTATTTCTATAATTAGTTTTTTTAAATCGATTTTATTTGAAAATATAAAAAGTATATAAACTAGAGTTGGAATGTTATCATTATTCTTTGATAAAATTAGTCATGTCTAACAAGTAATGTGCATCACTGATTGGTCAGATTTGTGTAATCTTTTACGGTTCTTTTTTTTACAATATATGACCTTTGAATTCTTTTAAACTAATATACCCAAAATACCCAAAGTGCAAATCAACTTGAGCAGGACTATTGGCTCTAGGGTTATACTAACTCTAATGGCTCGTTGATTTGCTTTTGGTACTTTGGATAATAAAAGTTTGTGCATAGTGTGTGTGCTTTTGCACCACCTATTATAAGTAGATTTTATAGTATAAGCCTAGCACTAGTAATTTGACTTCCTGTACCAGTTGTCTGCCAGTGGTAGAACTACACCAGAGATCGAAGTCTCTAAAATTTTCTTCGCTGATTGAGGTAGTTAAAATCATGAATTTATCCAAAAACATTCGGTACAGGGTCTATTCAAGGAGCAGAGCCATTTTCTGATAAGTTAAATTATAATTGTCATCTTCAGAAAACAAGATTAGGGTAATTTTTTCTCTGCTTACTTATGTCACTTGAAATTAGGGGTAAAAATCAAGCCCCTTATTGGACAAAGATTGAAGAAAGAATACTTGTATTAGACCCAGGTGTTGGAACATTTCTTGAAAACAAAAAATTCTAGTTTTTAAAATTTATTAAATATAGCATATTGCATTTTTCTCTTTTAATTATTTTTATATTTTCAGCTTAATTAGAGTTGAACTTGATATTCATCGCTTTGCGCAATTGAAATCTCGTGATTTTAAAGAACTCGCATTTTGGTGGCTTCCTTTTATTATCTTCTGCATCTATTTTGGATGGTTTTCTGATTTGAATTACATTAGATAGCTTTTGAATTAACAACAAGGTTGTCATATACATTAATGTTGAACAAGTATTCAAGATTCATTTAATGTAAATATTATAATAATTATTGATATTAAGAACTAGTACATTATTTTTTTAGTTTCTAAATATGAAGCAACTCTATATGAATAATTATCAGCAATAGTTATCTTTTCTCTGTTCAGATATCTTCATAAAATTGTCATACTAGTATGTGATAAAGCATCTATAGCTTTCACAAAAACTCCCATTAAGTCTACAAAAAGAAATATACCTTTTTTAAATACAGCTAGTTTAGAATTCTGGTTGCTGATTATCCCTTAAACCATTTCTTGTACAATTTGTACTGAAATTCTTATTATCAAATTTGATCAGGTTTTGTTAAGTTATTTTGATTTAAAGTTTTAAAAAAAATTTACTAAAAAAAATTTGCTTGGTTTCTATTGACCCACCCCATATATTGATTTGTATTTGTATATTTGCAAATTGCAACATCATATTAAAAAATATCATAGATGATGCTGAAATTCACATGATCACATCCGCGATAAAAAAAACATCAAAATTTAAATGTAAAAAGAAAAACTCTCATGAACAATTAAAAGCAATCTGTTTCACATTTCAATTAGGTCTTAATTCTATGATTTATTTTGGTTTGATCTTTAATAATTTACTTTCAGATAAGAGATTTAAGCTCTTGATAAGTTATTGCATAATTATTTAATAGACTATTAATACAATAGTTAAATGACCTATAATTTTCTTCAATTATTTCTTCTTTAAAACTACTCATTCTACCTTTCAAATAATAAACAAATAAATCTTTTTGATCGGCTTTTATTTTTTTGTAGATAGCATAAATTAGGGAAATTTCTTCTTTTAGAATATCAAAGATCTCATATTCGCTTGAATATGAAATATGTTTCTTAAGTTTCTTATTTGTTTGCTTCTGGAACTGCATCTATAAGTTATTGTTATTATTATCTGTTAATGAATTTCTAATGATTAACCATTTACTATTAGTAAACTTTGAAATTATTTTGTATAGGTCAAGATAATCATTTCCATTAGAAATTTCTTTATTCTAAATAAAAAGATTGCAAAAGTATTTTTGACTGAAAGAGACTTGAATAGTAGAATATATGTTGGTTGTATACATGTCTTTAATATTAAGTCCTCTTGATAGTAATAATTTTTTTATTTTTTCCGATAAGGAGGAGTGATGCATGATTTTGTTGTTTTTAAACATGATAAATATTCTATTAAGTTATATGCCTCATTATTTTCCTAGTTAAATAAATACTGTTTTATATAAAAGAAAAAATTTTAGTTTCTTATTTTAATATACATATTTTAATATACACAATCATTTATTAATTTATAAATTGAAAAAAAAATCAACAGACCTTTGACAGTTTTAGAGTAAACTATTAGTTAATTGTAATTCAAATCACTATCACTATATGGATTATTGAATAATCATTCTTCAAGAATTAAGTTTAGTGATCTGATCTTTATTATTTTTAAATTAAATAAATTTAAAACGTGAGTCATTAATTTATATTGTTATACCAATATGTATTGTATAAACTGATTATTTGGTCACTTGTTATATTCAATTAATCGGAGTCGATACTATATAACTTAAATTAAAAATTAAAATTTCACAAATAAATTGTACATAATTATATAAATAGAAATGTGCTGTCATAAATATATTTTGAAACCTTAATTCATAGAATCCAATATTTGTGAAATTTGTATTGAGTAAATAAAAAAAGATAAAACTCTTCTTAATGAAGAGAGTTTGAGTATTTGCTATAACGAGATTACTTGTAGTTAGTGGAATAGTTTTTATTTAACTATTCATATCAAAATACAATAAACTTTGATTAAAACCTAACTTTCTAAATAGATAATTTTTAAATCTAGTTGGATCAAAGAGAACAAATTACGTTTATGTCTTAAGATATTTATATGACATATAATAAGTGGATGCTCTATGTAATACATATACATATGATAAAACTAAATTTTTAAAGTAATATTTCTAATTCCTTTTAAGCAACTCAAGCGCCTAGTTATATTTAATATAAATAAATATACTAATTCGACTATTCTTATCCTTATTTTTCAAATTAAATACTGAATAGGATTGTATGAAATTAATTTTATACAATTTTCTAAAGTTAAATAGTTGGGGTTGAGTCAATAGAAATCAAGCAAATTTTTTCTAAGTAAATTTTTTTGAAACTTTAACCAATAATAACATTCACAAAAACTTTATTAAAATTAATAAACATTTTTTTGAAATAAATATTACAAATTATAGAATTTATTTGAAAAAATTTTTATTAAATTTGATAAAGCTTTTGTTGAGTTATTGTTGTTTAAAGTTTTAAAAAATTTCAATAAAAACAATTTGCTTGATTTCTATTGACTCACCCCCAGTTAATTTAATGCTGCAATATAAAATATGTATATAATACATTATATTAGAGTGTTTGTGGCATATAATTATATTTGCTCTGTATTGTCTCTGTAAGATAAACGTGATTTTAATCATTTTTTAAAAATAAAATATAATACAAAAAAATATTTTTAAAGTGAGCAGAATTATGCATCGCAAAATTCAGGACACTCTAGTTTAATATCTGTTTATATTAGCCTTTATCATCATAAAATTACATTTATTTGTCATCAGGTACAAGCTAATGGATAAAGCTTTTAAATCAATTTCTCAACAACTAAAATTAACTGTAGAGAAATATGATAGTGAAAATCTTTTGGGAATTTGTAGGTTATTGATTATTTGAATAGCCTCAAAAATCACATTTTTGTTACTGAAAAAAAGTTCTTAAATGAAGCTATAAATGCATTTAAAAAAAAACAAGATTTAGAATATGCTTGCAAAGTTTTTGATAAACTTAAAGAAAGCAAATTTAATAATACTTGTAGGACTGCCAGGTATTACTTAGGCCTTTGCTATGAAGGTGGTGTTAGATGTTCACAAAATTTAAATGAAGCTAAAAAGTGGTATAAGTCTGCTGAAGTATTAAATTTAGATGCCCAAAAAAAACTGCGTGAATCAAATTTTAAGTCTTAAAAAAAAACAGAAGTAGAGTATTTCTGTACTAGAGTAATTTGGTAGATTTGTAATTGTTATATTAATTTATATATACAACTTTTAGCAAACTTAAATCGTGATTTATTAATTTTTAAAAATAAAAATTTCCTTGAACCAATGTTTGTGCATTTATGCTTTAAAATAACTCATTATTTATATTATTTTTCAACTGTTTAAAACATTGATGATTAAAGTCATTTAAATAATACTCACCTGTTTTTAATTATGTTAATAAAAAATATTTGCTATTCCTAGTGATGGGACTAGCGAGTTATTAGTTAATAAAAAAATTAATAATTAGTTAATAATATTTAATAATAATTAATAATTTTGGTAACTGTTAAAAACTACAGTATTGTAAAATTATTTATGAGTAATTGTCATATCCTTTTATTGAGTTTTGGTCAAAATATTGCATCATATAAGGTGACAATTAAATTTTTGGGATTTCACTTTCAGGATCCCCCTTTTATTATATTATTTATAACATGATAATAAAAGTTTGTGCATAGTGTATGTGCTTTTGCACTATTTATTGTAAGTAGATTTTATGGTAAAAGCCTAGCACTAGTAATTTGACTTTCAGTGCCAGTTGTCTGTTAGTGATAGAACTGCACCAGAGATTGAAATCTCCTCTAAGATTTTTTTCGGCTGATTGAGGTAGTTAAGATCATAAATTTTATTTCTTTGCTTAACTTAATATACTAGTAGCTTTATAACGAATATTGGTTCTGGCAAAATGTTAAATATTAGATACCTATAAACTATGGGCATATAAAAATTTCCTGTATACGTCGTATAATGTTAAAATCTTTTCTATTATTATGTTAAAACAGTATCTTGGTCACCTCGAAAATAGACAGATATACTAGGACTCTGAGCAATCTATGTACAGCTAAGATTTTTAAAAAATCTTAACAAATTACTAAAAAAGTAAAAGATCTGCATAAAAATAGTCAAAAATAAGCATATATATTACTAAAATTAGTAAAAATCTGCAAAAATAGTCAAAAATAAGCAAAAATAAATTCTAACCTATCTATGTATAGCTCGGGGTCCTGATATACTATTGGAGCTATAATAAACGCTATTAAATCTGAAAACATTATTATTCTTACGAACAGGAAATATTTATGCCAAAATATTTATGAATTTGTTAATTACAAAACATGTCATATCCAAAGTGATAAATTTGTATGTAAATATTATAATTCTAGAAGTTTTAGTACCTATGAGAAAAGTAATCATTCAATTTCATGAATTATGTAATGGAATCATTGTTATATTTTCAAAAAATATGTATACGTAAATTTATAATGATATCATTACATAATTATATAAGTAATTTGTCTTCCTTTGACAACTAGTATCTGTAGATATATATATAAATTCTCATTCTTTAATACTTTCAAACAACTATTTTGCTATTGTAATTATGGTTGAAAGTAAAAAAGAAATTTTGAGAAATTCAACCAACCTTATTTGGAAAGCAACCGATGGAAAAGTTGTTACAATTACTTTCAATAACCAGTTACGCTTAGCAACCATCTCGTTAGATAAAAGAACCAACACTATCGTAAATTTAGAAATACCAAGAGCAAAAAATTTTTTTGTTGTATAATATTTGAATTTTAGGTTATGCAGCAAAAAAAAATAACTGAATTTTTTTAGAGAATTGCTGATTATAAGAATGTTCCAGAATGTCAACTATATAATAAAAGTGTTAGTAACAACTCAGAACATGACCAAGGTATGAATAAATTGATTAATGTTATCTCTGGAATGTTTAACCATAGCATGCAAGCTGACGATATTGAAAATGTATGCCAACTTAATAAGGAATATGTTAACAATAATAATTAGGTAAGAAACTTTTTAATTATGGCAGCTGAGATCTGTTGAAATTTGGGATCTTTAACTAAATCGACTAAACTTTCTGAAAAGAATGACGAAAGAAATGATGAGGTAAAAAAATCAACAATTTAATTCGAATTAGAAATTTTAAATTAATTAAACCAACTTATTTTAATAATTAAAAGAGTGAAATAGAAAATATTATTGTAAGTATAATTAGTTTAAATTTTTTTATTAGTCTGAGGAGTAGTTATTCAAATATTTTTATATACACCAAAAAAATTCTAGAATTTATCACACAATATAAATATTAAAGATAATAACAATGATCAAAATGATGAGGTAAATAAATGTTGTAAATTTTGTTATTAATAGGATGCTATTTAAGTATTTTATTAAAAAAATGTTTTTAGAATTTGCAAGATACTATAAATATTCAGAAAATCAACTATGAGGAAAGAATTGATAAGGTAAAAATGTTTTTTTTTTCGAATTCTTAAATTAATTAGAGTTTATTCAAGTTTTTTTAACTACCAAAAAAAAATGGATCTAGAATTTATTGCACAAAACTACAGATGTTGACAATAATAAGGTAAATAAACCAAAATTTAGTTTGAATTTACTAATCAGAAGAGTAATATTTTTAATCATGTAAAAAATGGTTCTAGAATTTAACGCACGATACTATAAATATCGACTATAAAAATCATGAAGAAATGATTAATGAGGTAAATATGTATTTTTTATTTTTTATTTTAAATTAATTAGTGTTAATTCAAGTGTTTTAATTATGTAAAAAAATTGTTTTCGAATTTAACACATGGAACTATAAATATCGACAATAAATATAAGAGAAGAAATGATGGGGTAAATAAGTTAAAAAATTAGTTTGAATTCTACTAATCAGAAGAGCAATTATTCAAGTATTTTTAAATATGCAAAAAGCACGAAACTATAGATATTCAAAATATTGATAACAATCTAAAGAATTTTCCAAATTCATACGTTCTTATTACAGAAAAACCTCTATCAGCAAGTATTTTTTATATTAATAATTGCATAAGCATCGACACAATAAGTAAATTTTAAAGGTAGATAATTAATTATTTCATTTTCATTTTCATAGTTAAAGAGATGTAAAGATTTGGATCCTTCTGTAGCTTCAGTATGTATAAAACCTATAACAAATAATATCAATATATACTATAATTTTAACTTGTTTTTTAATAATTCACAAGTTTATTCGAAAAAAGAAAGCAAAATTGATAGGTAAGCTAACCTTTTACATTACAAATAAAAAACTAAATTAATGATTTGAAATTATACTTTAAATATTTAAAAGCTTCAAATCCTTTAGATTATTCAAAAGCTTCAGATTCTTTAAATTCGGCTTCAGAAGGTTCGGATTCAGTTTCAGAAGTTTCAGATTTGGCTTCAGAAGCTTCAGATTTTTTAAATTCAATTTCAGAAGTAAATAGCCTGGTGAGTAAAAAAATATATAATTTACTAGTTAACCCAAAATTTAATTATTTAATAACTATTCAATTTTGATATAAAGTCATATAAAAAGCTTATAATACTTAAGATATTTTAACTTTTTTTAATAATCACAAAAAGAATAAATTTCTTAAAAAAAAAGGCAAATATGCTATTGTTGAAGCAAAAGAACTAATATTCACGAAAATCAATTAAAACAAAAAGCGAGAATATTCGAACATATAAATACTCAAATTAAAACTCATTAGAATTAATAATTATTTTATAAAATTAAAGCCAACAA